AATATCAAAGACCTCAAAAGAAGGGTAAATTAAGCAGCACTATAAATTTTTAACAACCATCAACGAATTTGATAAGAAAATATGAAAGTTCTTATAAAAGGGGTAAATTTGATAACAAAATATCAAAGCTCGTTTCATTATGCAATGGCAGAATTGAAGCTTGCCTAGACACATCATTCATGAAACAATTAAACAGACAAACAGTTCAAGCGCGTTTGCTAGTTTTTCAAGACACATGGAATCAAAAAGATACACACAACTGAAAAGAAGAAGAAAATGTGAATTTAACCTGCTTGTCAAATGAGTCTTGAGGGAATCGCGTATCGATTAATAAAATTGAACCATGGGTCGAAGGACCTTCTTTGCATTGGGATGGTCCCACGCCAATGATTCCCCTCATTCTCGTGGATATAGTCTGATTATTTTGAGAGGAAGACGAGGAGATGGTTGGGCGTTATCAACCAGGGGAAGAGAAAGAGGGATCTCCCTTAGGCACTGGCACTTTTCAATCTTAATATCTTCAAGAGAATCACATACCATTACTGCACTCCTGCTACAGACGCTCTTCAATGCGGGCAAGTTGATCAACCACAATTCTTTTAATTTTGGAAGAATGAGCTTCTTGATGATGTCCCCTCCTTCTGGATCTGATGCTATTATTTCTTCCAATTCTCTACAATTCTCGGCATAAATCTGCTCAAGACTTTGGAGATACCCTAACAACTTCCAAGACGGGATCAACCTTTTTATTTTATTACAGTAACTAAGCATAATCAATTTAAGAGATGAAAAGGTGCTAGGTGGCGGTGGTGGGGACATGGTAATCATTTCTGCGTCAAATAGGCCTTCCAACTTGTCCAATCCCTCGAGAATCAATTCCTCAAGGGTTTGAACGAGCGGGTTTATCCACGAGGTAAAAACACACTCCATGCCTTTACAACTCCAAATCCAGCAGCCCCTCAAATCTGTTGCATCTTTAATGGAAGAAAAATCATTTAAGCTTCTTAGGTTGTTGCATTGTCCAATGCATAATCCATCTACTGAGGGTGGCAATATTATATTCTCTCCAACAATATCTATTCCACCGAATTCCACCGTGCGATAACGTCTAAGAAGGGTCACGCCAATGGGGTGAGTATATTTTCCAACTATAACAAAGTATCTACTCAGCTGATCTCCTTGACCATAAACACATTTCAAAAAGATGCTCCAGTCATGCACTGTAGGGAACCTGCCATGAAAAGCTTCCAGCTTCTCCAATCTCTCTATCACTTCCACTCTTAACACTGTTCTCTCATCCACAAATAATCGCTGTAGTTTTGAGAGATTTAATAATGTTGCATCATCTAATATGCTACAATATTCAATCTCACCATATGATCTAAGACTAAGATATTTGAGATTTGTACACATTTCTAGGCCTTTAGGGACTTCTTTGATTTTTGTCCGATCAAGGTCTAACTTTTTTAAAGCTCCGAACTCTGAAAAAGATGGAACCTCTGTTAAGTTTGTCCATTGCAACAAAAGTGTAGTGAGATTCACCAATTTGGAAATGGAACTTGGCAAGCTCCTCAGCCTAGAATTGTGGGAAAGATCAAGAATTTTGAGCGCAGGCATATGCTCAAAAACAGATTCTGAAATTATTGACAAATTATTATAGGATAACAACAAAGTTGTGAGCATGATGCATTTTGAAGATAGGATACTTGAAGGAATTTCTTCTATCTTATTCCTCATTAATGAAACCTTTTCAAGTTCTTCCGTCCATTTTCCCTTCTCAGGTAGCTTTGTCAATGCCTTGCCAGCTTCTATCATGAACCGAGGACTCGTTTTTGTAATTTGCAGTGCCATATCCCTAACAAGATCATGCATCCTCACACTATCCTCCCTTAATTCATTTTTACTGGATTCCAACAAACAATTGTCTACAAGTTTCCTCAATATATAAAGGCCATCATCCTCCATTGCTTGTACAGTCTCCTTTTCATCTATTAGCTCTTCATCAATCCAATAATCAATTATAGAATGTATTGGGATATTGTGGTCCTCAGGATACAATGCGCAACATAAAAAGCAATGTTGGAATTTTGAGGATTCCAAACGATTATAACTAAATTTTAATATCCCAAATGCATCATCATCATTTGTACCTGCTACTTTTCTTTTGCATTCTCTCAATTGATTCAATGCAGCACTCCACAACCGTGGCTCAGATACTCTCTTCAAGCTACCAGCAACTGTAACAATTGCCAAGGGGAGGCCATCACATTCATCTACAATCCCCTTTAAAGTTGATTCTAAAGCTCCTTTAATGCACCCTTGATCTGATAAAACAATATCTCCAACTTTATTTATAAACAATTTTAAAGCTTCAACTTTTGGAAGAGTCTTCACTTCAATTATCTCACAATCCATTCCACGAGCAACTTCTCGTGACCTTGTAGTCAATACCAACTTGCAACCATCACCTTTGAATGGCTCAGGAATTCCAACAGCTGTAAGTTCAAAGCTCTCCCATACATCATCTAGAATCAACAAGTAAGGCATGTGTCTTTGTAACACCTTTAATAACATTCCTGCACGTACAGTTGCATTTGGATGCTTACGTGTATCTTCTTCCTTCAAGGTGGATGCAATTTGCTCTTGCAATTTGTAGATATCAAAGGGTTGTGACACTGTTGCCCAAATTATTTTCTTGAATTTGGCTTCTTTCAACAACTCGTTGTGGACATTCTCCATGATTGTTGTTTTTCCAACTCCCCCCATTCCCCAAACACCAAGCTTTGTCACCTCATCTCCCATCAAGCATGCCAAAATTTCTTCTTTGACATCTCCACTACCTTGTAATTCTGATGCTGGCAATTTCACTCCTGAAGTAGATGGATCATCTTTGACCAAACACTTGTTAGCCAAACTATCCCCTCTTTCATATATTTCCTGCAATTCTCGAGCCCTTTCCTGTAGAACCTTTACTCGACAACAACATGAGAGACATCCCCAACCATTCACTTCAGCTGCAATGTCTTTAGCAATAAACTCTTCTGCTTCCTCCAACCATGTTTGCACTTCCTCCTTTGCAACTTTCCCATAGTGAAGCTGTGTGTCCAATATGGATTTAATATCATCCTTTCGGTTACACAAGCGTTGTTTCCTTGCATTGAATTGTTCTAAATCACCATTGAACTTTATCTGATATTTTAGGTACCTCACAATTGGACCACCAACGGACTTCACAATTTCAATGATTGGCCCTACAAAGTTCTCCATAATATAGTCTCTACATCACATCATTTACGTAAAGAAAAGTCAATTCATTAAATCAAAGAATGAGAAAAAAAAAAAAAGAATATTGTTATAAGCTGGTTCAAAACATGAGGATATAAATCAATAAGGATAAAACTGTACCTGGTTTAAGTTGCTTGTGCTTTCTCTAAATACTTCGAATGTTGAAAGAGAAGATATGCTTGGGGACAGGCTTCTCCACAGATATATGGCAAATGTACTTTTAGCTGTTTAAAATATTTCATTATACATAGACTAAGTTAAAAGGAAGGGAAGAAAAAGATTATAAAAAAAAGTTAAAAATAGAAAAGCACCCAAGAATCTAAATAAGAGATTGTAATATATACTAAAGTTCAATAATCAGTGAAGAATTTTGCAAGCTATCAAAAAAATAAGCCTTTTGCGAGAAGAAAAATGAATATGAAGAAAATAATCAAAATATCTAGAAATCAAAGAATTACACCTGCTGGCTTGAAACATATGCTCTCCAATTTAAGGATTTTGAGAAGGAAATCAATGTCGATTGCAGAATATGTTATGGATTGTACCAAATGATGAAATCTGCCAAAGAAAATTAAAATTAGTGAGATGGTAAGTTCATATACCTTCTACTAAATTGAAAATTATGTACACTTTAATCCTCTAAAATACCTAAATCCCTGATTTCATTCAGCCTAACTTCTATTCTCTTAAACTACCCATTGGACCATTTTTCATCTTAAACCGAGTTGATTCTGGTGCTATTTCATTTTTCCCCTTTAAAACAAAAATGAATATTATATTAAATTTTTGGCGCTTTGTTGTTGCAGTGGTATCTTTCTACTTTAGTTTTCTCTTCAAAAAAGCATATTGAATATTATATTAAATTTTACTTTTGTCTTTTATTTTAAAAGCTAAAAGGTCAAATTAACGTAATTATTGTTAAGCAAAAAGAACTACATAATGAATAAGAAGTTTTTCTATTAACATTGATATGTTATGTTAAAATTTTACTTAAATTTTTTTTTTTAAATCAAAAAAATCAAATTAAAATTTCCATTATTGAATGGAGTGAGCAATTAAGTCATTAGAGTATGTCTCGTAGTCCTAGAAGTAAATTCATTGTTTGACTGTATATTTTATAAGAATATTGCAAGTAAGTCACGACTACCATACAAAATTAGAATCTCAACTCAACTTAAAAA